TAAAAATAAGGTTAAAATAAAAAAACAAGAAAACCAAAAACAAAGAGATAAAAGCACTAACATTTAAAGACCTCTTTTTCCAAGACCAACCAGAATTTCTCCCATATAAAATTAAAATGACTAAAAAATAAATTAAAATACACGTGTTCACGAAAATACTAAAACAATACGAATAACACACATAAAATACGATAAAAACAATAAAACAAAATACAATAAGATAAGATAACAGAAATAAAAAATACTAAAATAAAACCAATAATATAGAATAAAATAAAATATAATAAAAGACAATAAAACAAAACAAAATGAGATAGTATAAATAAAAAAAATACTAAAATAATATCGGTAATATAAAATAAAATAAAATATGAGAAAATGGAATAAAATGGAAATGCACGCAAATAACGCGGATTTTAGCATAGACTCACGAATAGAAGAATCACCTAGCCTGCTCTAACCCGCGAAGTCATTAATTCACAGCAGACTTGGGCCGAACTCGAAGCGCGGGTTTTTGCTACTTCGCGACGCGGTCTTCCCATTTGAATCACAATGCAAACACGCGGGTGTGTGTTTGCGTCTGCATAGCGTACAAACGGTCTTCTGACGGAACTGTATCTACTTCCGATGCGCTCGCGGGTGCCGTAAACGTGCGATGACAGGTATCGGTTTTTCGTGGAAAATCGAGACGTCTATAAACGCGGGGATCCGCGAAATCCTACACCAATCGCAATTGCAACGCGTCTGAGTGAACACGTCATACAGATAAATTTGGATTTGCGGATGTGATCGTGGTACCCTCCTGGTGAAAAAAGATTGCGAAATGTTAGAAAGGTACTTACGAAATCCGCGCAAAACATTTCGAATGAATTTGAAAAATGTAGGACGGCTTTATGGGTTTGGTATATCCACGTAACACGATATATAACGATATATAAATTGAAATTGAATTTAAAATTCTACTAATTATTGTTATTTTAATATAATTAATCTTATCTTCACATTACTTTATCTTCGTTAGAGTCATGAAAAATTTGGAAATATTAGAAATACATTATCGGTTACGATGTTTGACGTAATGTTGTAAAATTGGGCAAAATTTTTGTGCAATACTGATATATTATTGTCTGAAAAATTATTGCGTAAATGAGTCTCGAAGTTATAATACCTTCTTTCCAAAATCATTATCTTTTTGTAAAATTAGTGTGATGAATTAACTTGTTAATAATTTATAAGTAATTTAAACAATTTAAATAATTTAAATCTGATACAATTTAAATTTGAATAAAAATAAATTTAAATAATTTAAAAGAAATATCAAGAGATTTGGAATATTATTTATTAATCGCTATAATATTGTTATATATTATTATGTACAATAATATTATTGATTATAGAAAATTGTAATCGATGAAACTTATCTAAATACATATTATTTTATCACTGTCACGTAAATTAAAAATATCAGTAACTTTATCAGTGATATACTAACACTATAATTAATCAAAATTACTTTCATAAGGAGTAATTAATATTCTTGATATAGAAGATTAAAATTAATGCAAGAAATTTATCACTAAACCATATTCATATCAACAATAATAAAAATAAGGTTAAAATAAAAAAACAAGAAAACCAAAAACAAAGAGATAAAAGCACTAACATTTAAAGACCTCTTTTTCCAAGACCAACCAGAATTTCTCCCATATAAAATTAAAATGACTAAAAAATAAATTAAAATACACGTGTTCACGAAAATACTAAAACAATACGAATAACACACATAAAATACGATAAAAACAATAAAACAAAATACAATAAGATAAGATAACAGAAATAAAAAATACTAAAATAAAACCAATAATATAGAATAAAATAAAATATAATAAAAGACAATAAAACAAAACAAAATGAGATAGTATAAATAAAAAAAATACTAAAATAATATCGGTAATATAAAATAAAATAAAATATGAGAAAATGGAATAAAATGGAAATGCACGCAAATAACGCGGATTTTAGCATAGACTCACGAATAGAAGAATCACCTAGCCTGCTCTAACCCGCGAAGTCATTAATTCACAGCAGACTTGGGCCGAACTCGAAGCGCGGGTTTTTGCTACTTCGCGACGCGGTCTTCCCATTTGAATCACAATGCAAACACGCGGGTGTGTGTTTGCGTCTGCATAGCGTACAAACGGTCTTCTGACGGAACTGTATCTACTTCCGATGCGCTCGCGGGTGCCGTAAACGTGCGATGACAGGTATCGGTTTTTCGTGGAAAATCGAGACGTCTATAAACGCGGGGATCCGCGAAATCCTACACCAATCGCAATTGCAACGCGTCTGAGTGAACACGTCATACAGATAAATTTGGATTTGCGGATGTGATCGTGGTACCCTCCTGGTGAAAAAAGATTGCGAAATGTTAGAAAGGTACTTACGAAATCCGCGCAAAACATTTCGAATGAATTTGAAAAATGTAGGACGGCTTTATGGGTTTGGTATATCCACGTAACACGATATATAACGATATATAAATTGAAATTGAATTTAAAATTCTACTAATTATTGTTATTTTAATAATCATACAATTATACCGAAGTTATTGCAATTATAATTAAAATAAAAAATTAATTTATTATTATAGAAATATCGTATAATTTATGGTACATTTAGCTACATATTGCATATCAATAATTATAAATTAATAATTCAAAATTTCGTAATATATATATATATATGTAATTTCATTGCACCGATAGGAAATTTATATATATATATATGTGTGTGTGTGATCTCATTGCACCGATAGGAAATTTTGAATTATCAATGTATATTAATTGATATATATATTTATATTCTTCTACATATTAAATTATATGCAGTTAAATTGAAATTGAATTTAAAATTCTACTAATTATTGTTATTTTAATAATCATACAATTATGCCGAAGTTATTACAATTATAATTAAAGTAAGATATTAATTTATTCTTGTAGAAACATCGTATAATTTATGGTACATTTAGCTACATATTGCAGATGCATAATTATAAATTAATAATTCAAAAGTTCCTAATATATATATAATCTCGTTGCACCGATAGGAAATTTATATATATATGTGATCTCGTTGCACCGATAGGGAATTTTGAATTATTAATATATAATGATCGATCTGCAATATGTAGCTAAATGTACCATAAATTGTGCGATATTTCGATAATAATAAAATAATGTTTTATTTTAATTATAACTGCAATAGCTTCGATACAATTGTATGATTATTAAAATAACTGTAATTAGTAGAATTTTAATATCAGTTTTAATTTAACTGCACATAATTTAATATGTAGAAGGATATAAATATTAATAAGCACGCGAATGTTAAATTATCTCGATTCACTTTCGTTGCATGTTACGTTAAATTAATAGATAATAGATGACCCGAAAGGATTATTATGTAATGTATGCATAAATATTGTAGGATTGACAGGGTCATTCGAGTGCATAAATATTTATCGAAACTGGAATTGCAAATTTGCAAGCCTCGGTGCGATTTATTAGCTCATCCTACGGTGCTATGAAAGTATAAAACCGGTAGATATTATTCCTCAATCGACACTCTTATCTTTCATAACGCATTTTCAGCTTTGCTTAAATAAAAATTAATAACATTTAATGACACGATAATTGTCTTCATTGAATATGTCAATACAAATGGAAGCCAAAGTGACAATTATCTGTTTTTACTTACGATTCTGAAATATGAATCTCATGCATTTTAAGTATCCATTAACAAAGAGCTTACTACAAATTGATTATCACGGAAATATACGGAGATATATAATATAAATCTGTTTAAAACCAGAATTACCAATCCATGATATATAACAAAACGTTATAATTAATATTTAAAAGAGTAAACACAGATTAATTACAATTCCATCCAAATAAAATCAATTAACCTCTTTAAAAATTTAGTCAAAATTGAACATTAACAATCCTAATACAAGAAATTAAAAATTCATTCATAACTAATTAATTCATAAAAATTAAAAATTAATTCACAACTAATTAATTCATAAAAATTAAAAATTAATTCATACTTAAGTAATTAATAAATAACCAATTATAAATTAATTCCGAAATAATGAAATTAATTCATAACTGCAATTATAATTAATTACATTTTTAATCGTAAATTAATTCGTAATCACAAACCGAGTAACACACAAAGCAACGATACAAAAGTTTGCTATAAAAATTTTCTGCAAAAACGAAAAAAAAGCGAAGAAGAGAAAAAGAAGAAAGAGGAAAGGAAGAAGAAATAAACAAGCATCCATGAGGTAAGCAATACCTCGTCACAGCGGAGGAACGTGAAATATGTAATTCGTAAGTCGAAATCGTCGCGATGACGAGTACCCGATTATGCCGATATGAATTTTCGCCGATATGACACATCTAATCAGCGACTACGTCGTGTCGTATCGATTACGGAACTGTAAATAAGCCAGCGTTTATTACAAGCGCCGTTGAATCGCGCTACGCCACTAGACTCAGCCAATTAACATGACAGCTGGCCCTACTACGCGATCGTTACGTGAATCAGCCTGGACGTAGGCCGTATTTTCGAAAAAGCCGCTTCGGGGAAGAGGACTCCGACGAGATTACACAGGATCGTACCAAGAGCGGCGAAAAAGTCGAAGAAAACATAAGCCGCCACCCCACCGTCTCTGATCGTGCGTACGTACGTTCGATTGTTTACACAATCCCATATATAAGCTGGAAGCACGAGAGTTTGACAATCTCAGTTCACGATCTTACGCCAATCGCTAACATCGCCTTAACGAAATCGTTCTCCTCGATTGGCCTAGGCTTTGCGCGTACTGTCACACACCAGAAGACATTATCCAGCTTCTAATCTCTGTCAAGATCCCTATCAGTGATCAGTATCTCGTGACGCGAAGCTAGGCTAAATTTCGAAAGATCGCGAAGATGTTCGTCTCACGTGGTTACCTGTTGATCTCGATACTAGTGGTCGTGTCTGCCGCGCCGAGAAGAAGCGGAAAATTGGCACAGCCTATGTGGTACTTGCCTTGTGGCGAGAACCTGGACACCGACCCCATGCCGTTCGTGAACGTCGAGGAAGAAGTGAGCAATAGCATTCAGGAGCTCAGGATTCAGCACAAATTGACCATGAACCACTACTTGAACCAGGACTACGACTATCTCTATGAAAGGGTACGCATAGGCGTTCACGAGCATCAGTATATCCCCAACTGGGTCCCCGGCAAGAAGGACGTGAGCGCGATCAAGAGGCTGACTAAGGCTAGCCCGCGAACGGTGAGTGTACTTGCGGAAATCACCGTACTTTATCTTCGATGCGGTTATTGATTAGCGAAATTAGCCTCGTCGGGTTTGACACTTGATTTCTAAACGTCGCTTCGAGAGATACGTATAGATGTACTTGAATCAGAGGCAGGCTTTTATCTGATATGGAAATTCCATTGGAGGATGATCTTGGGATTCCAGTCTCGCTGTCTGGAGAAAATTGGAAGCTATTCGAAGAGATTTTCTCGTTCGGTCTTTTGAATTTTATTTTTGCTTTTCTATCGAGGAATGAGTTTTCCGGATTCTTAATATTAGTTTAGGAGAGCGAGAAGTTTTTGTTTATTTAAATTATTATGGTGGGTCTCTTAGATATTTCTTGAGATCGTCAAGATGATAAATTATTTTCTTAACTTTCTGTCATAGTTCTTTAGGATATCGAGCTGTATAAATTTTGACATTAATAGAAAATTAATAACAACTTGTTTCTTTCGAGGATTGAGTTTTTGGGATTATTAATATCGTTAGGAGAGCGAGAACTTTTTGTTTATTTAAATTATTATGGTGGGTTTCTTAGACATTTCTTGAGATCGTCAAGATGATAAATTATTTTCTTGATTTTCTGTCATAGTTCTTTAGGATATCGAGCTGTATAATTGTTGATATTAGTAGAGAATTAATAACAATCTGAAGATATGTAACTTTTAATTAGGTTTCTTTAAAAAATGAATTTCAGTATCTCTTAACATTGTTAGAAAATTAAAAATTTTTGCTTATAATGAATCTCTTCGATATTTCTTGAGAAGATAAAGTTTCTTGAATACCATTTTTATTTTTCTTTCAATCAACAAGCTTTTAAAATTCTTAATATTGTTAAGAAAATGAGAAATTTTATTTACCATTCCTGATCTATTTATATAAATTATTCTGGTGGATTTCTTAGATATTTTTTGAGATGATCAAGCTTCTGATGACCATCATGGTAACAACAAATTACTTTCTTGACCTTCTGTCATATACCTTTAGACCATCCATCTTTATCATATTTTACATTAATAGAAAATTAATAACTTTCTATTAAGTTTCTTTAAAAGACGAGCTTCTATATCTCTTAACATTGACAGGAAATTAAAAATTTTGTGATATATTGTGCCTTTTCTATCTTTCTTCAGAAAATGTTGTCTCTTGAATTCCATTTTTCCTTTTCTTTCAAACAATAAACTTTTAGGATTCTTAATATTGTTAAGAAACTCGGAATATTTTATTTAACATTCTGCTGTCTATATATATATAAATTATTCAGTTGGATTTCTTAGATATTTTTTGAGATGATCAAGCTTCTAATGATCATCAAGATGATAAACTATATTCTTGATTTTCTGTCATATTTCTTTACAATATCGATCCCTATAATTTTTGCCATTAATAGAAAATTAATAACAATCTGCAGATATACAACTTTTAATTAAATTTCTTCAAAAGATGAGTCTCAGTATCTCCCAACAATGAGAGGAAATTAAAACTCTTTGGTTCACAAATTTATTTACATAAATTCTCTTACTGAGCCTCTCCCCTTTCTTCAGAAGATGAGATCTTCACAATCATTGATATCTTGAAAAACGAAGAATCTTTAGTTCAGAAATTCATCTGCATAAATTCTTACATTAATTTTCTCCCATCTCAGTCACGAATCAGTTATATTCAGCTAACTAAACATCTTTCACTCAGAATCGCATTCCCAATAAACATTTTGTTCCTCATTAAGTCCCTCGAATCTTCCTTCAACCTATCAGCTTGAATTCCTGCCACATTAAAAACCCAAATTCATTTTCTCACTCAACGTCTTGGAATCTTCCTTCAAATATCTCGAAACGACCACGAAATTGAAGATCTTCGTGCAAATCCAAAGCTTCCACTCCACTTGACACCTATACCAATTTTCTTTCACAAAAGATGCCTAAAAAGACCCAGCTCCATCGCAATCTTCCTTATCAGCTAAGGAATCCCAAGATCCTTCGTTCTTATCTATTCAAACCTTTCATATTCGGTCCCAAGATCCTACTCCATCCCAAAAAATTCACGAAGGAAAAGACACTCCACCAAGAACTGCACTGTCTTCACGCCCAATCAGCAGAACCGTAGAGCAATCTTATTAGACCTAAACTTCTTCAAAGACGCGATCACAGCCGAGTAATTAAGGAAGACTCTCGATTCAGCGATTAATTGGTCAGAGGCAATGACTGTTTGCATAAATATTCATCGGGCGTGGAAAACGGTACAGCGAATAGGGAAGGTGAGACACAGTGTCGGATCGAGGTGAGAGAGCGAGTCTGGCGGCGCGCATCCACCGGCCGGCCAATTGGCCGAGCATCCCGATGTTGCAATTAATTAACGCAACGTTAAATAACAAATTTTAATGAGACGGTAATTATTATAAAGTAGCAGGCGAACAGAAGCGCGCGCGGCTGTTCGATGTTTGCGCGCGCAATGCAACTCCGCGGCATGCGTTGCTCATGTTAGCCGGGTCGCGCGACTGCGTAATCGCGCTTGTCCTCAGCCGCGATGCGTGCACGCTGATAACGCATCCGTGATAACGGCCGCGGTACTCTGCGGCCGCCAGCGTCTCCCTTCAGCTCGCGGGCCGCGCGTCGGCGCGTCGTACGCTGCGCGCTCCGCCGTCGCTGCTTTTCCTCGTTTTCCCATCTCGGTGCAGGTTTTGCGAAGGTCGCGTGATAGTGGAATAGAGATATAGTAGGTAACTGATATTGTTGTGGTATGTGATAAAGGTGTAGTGATAGCGAAATGATATAGTGGCGAGGCAATAGGTGTGATAGGGTATACTTGGTGATGCAGTAATAGTGAAACGATATAGTGACGGTGGAATAGTAATGATATGGTAAATGATAGAAATATAGTGGTAGAGAAATGATATAGTAGCGACGCAGTAGGTGTAATGTGATATACTTGGGAATGTAGTAATAGTGAAATTGTATAGTGACGGTAGAATAGTAGTGATATGGTATACTTGGTGATGTAGTAATAGTGAAACGATATAGTGACGGTGGAATAGTAATGATATGGTAAATGATAGAAATATAGTGGTAGAGAAATGATATAGTAGCGACGCAGTAGGTGTAATGTGATATACTTGGGAATGTAGTAATAGTGAAATTGTATAGTGACGGTAGAATAGTAGTGATATGGTATACTTGGTGATGTAGTAATAGTGAAACGATATAGTGACGGTGGAATAGTAATGATATGGTAAATGATAGAAATATAGTGGTAGAGAAATGATATAGTAGCGACGCAGTAGGTGTAATGTGATATACTTGGGAATGTAGTAATAGTGAAATTGTATAGTGACGGTAGAATAGTAGTGATATGGTATACTTGGTGATGTAGTAATAGTGAAACGATATAGTGACGGTGGAATAGTAATGATATGGTAAATGATAGAAATATAGTGGTAGAGAAATGATATAGTAGCGACGCAGTAGGTGTAATGTGATATACTTGGGAATGTAGTAATAGTGAAATTGTATAGTGACGGTAGAATAGTAGTGATATGGTATACTTGGTGATGTAGTAATAGTGAAACGATATAGTGACGGTGGAATAGTAATGATATGGTAAATGATAGAAATATAGTGGTAGAGAAATGATATAGTAGCGACGCAGTAGGTGTAATGTGATATACTTGGGAATGTAGTAATAGTGAAATTGTATAGTGACGGTAGAATAGTAGTGATATGGTATACTTGGTGATGTAGTAATAGTGAAACGATATAGTGACGGTGGAATAGTAATGATATGGTAAATGATAGAAATATAGTGGTAGAGAAATGATATAGTAGCGACGCAGTAGGTGTAATGTGATATACTTGGGAATGTAGTAATAGTGAAATTGTATAGTGACGGTAGAATAGTAGTGATATGGTATACTTGGTGATGTAGTAATAGTGAAACGATATAGTGACGGTGGAATAGTAATGATATGGTAAATGATAGAAATATAGTGGTAGAGAAATGATATAGTAGCGACGCAGTAGGTGTAATGTGATATACTTGGAAATGTAGTAATAGTGAAATTGTATAGTGACGGTGGAATAGTAGTGGTATGGTATACTTGGTGATGTAGTAATAGCGAAATGGTATAGCGATGGTAGAATAGTAGTGATATGGTATACTTGGTGATGCAGTAATAGTGAAATGGTATAGTAACATTGGAATAGTAATGTTATGGTATATAATAGAAATATAGTGGTAGAAAAGTGATATAGTGGCGATGCTGTAGGTGTAATATGATATACTTGGTAATGTAGTAATAGTGAAATGGTAGCAATAGTAATAGCGATGAGGTAATAGCGAAATGGTATAGTGACAGTAAAATAGTAGTAATATGATACAGTAACGATGAATCAGAAGTGACACAATATATTCCTAATGTAGTAGTAGCGAGAGAGTAGTAGTGGTACGATATAATAATGATGCAACAGTAACGATATAGTATATTAATGATGTAGTAGAAGAGATATGGTATGTTAATCATGTGGTTATAATAATTATATATTAATAATACAGTTGATGCTCTAGTAATGATATGATCTAATAATTTAGTAGTAATATGGTAGTAGTAAAATAATATAGGAAGAATATAGCGGTAATGATGTAACATGATATAGTAATGATATAGTAGTATTGAAATGACATAAATAGAATAAAGCAGTAGTGATACGATATACTGGCGATGCAGGAAAAGTGATACGATTGTGACATTGATGAAATAATAATATTGATGAAGTAATTATACTGATAATGATTATAGTAGTAATGACGCATTAGTAATGATACGGTACGCTATGATGTCGCACTATTAGTGATATAGTATATTAATGACGTAGTAGTAATGAAATAGTATATTAGTGATGCAACAATAATAATATGGTATATTAGTAACGTAATAGCAGCAATATTATATAGTAGCGATGTGGTAGTAATAAAATGATATAGTAGTGATACAGGAGTAATTATACGATATGTTAGTAATTCAATAATAGTGATACAATACAGTAACGATTTAATAGTGATGCTGCAGTAGTAAAATGATATAGTAGCGATATAGTGGCAATGTTATGATACAAAAGCGACGTAATAGTAGCGATATATATATATAGAAATGAAATATGATAAATTTCGATTAATCGTAGAATCATTTTCATCTCGATAGTGTATCGGATTTTATGTAGAATCGGATTTTAACTCGATAATAAATTCGAAATTTTTAGTGAATAGTATAACACGTCTCTCTCCGAAGTCACGTCAGAAATTACTATACACCGCACGGTCGACTAACAACTGGAAAATTTCGCGATAAGACCGATTCGCGTCATGCACGAAAATAAAGATGGAAATTCTGTCGCAGATCGCCAAACACTTCCCAAAGCTGCACAAGGACCTGCAAAAGTTCGCGGTAGCCTTCGAGGAACTGATAGAGGACGAGCCGAATGACAAGATTTACGAATCTCTGAAAACGACGCAGGCCTACCTGATGATGATGCTGTGCGAAGTAGAAAGCAATATCATGGCTCTGCCATCCCTTCGACTTCCAGCGCGAGTGGAAAGGAGTATCATGAGCAACACGGAAAGACAGCCCGTGGACGATACGAGAAGGCTCGTTCGTGACTGGGGCGTGCTTCTCAAGTACAGGGATTATCTCCACGCCTGGAGGCACGTTTTCGATTATTAAGTAGCGCCAGAAGAAACAGCCGATAACATCGTGCCGCGTTCTCCTCCGATTCGTAAAAATGTGGAAACGCGACGGCTACGACAATGCGGCGCGGCATCGACGACAGCGCCGCCACCGATCAGCGGAGAAGTTGATCGGTAACCACGCGACGTTGACACCTATCAACTGGAACGACTGAGGAAAGAATAGTCCAATCACGATACATATGGTCATAGGTTAGAAACAGTTGTGATAACCATTCGAGATAACGTGACAGTCGCGAAACGTACACGAGCGACATCTATTTAATTTATTTATTCTTGCAATTATTTATTATCATCATCGAGCATTAGAGATAGTATTTATTCATTGTTGATCCACTCCGGTAGATGGAGTTATTTATTTAGATAGCCTAACTTATTTATTGAAAACAATTGTACCTTTTTTCACTTACCACCTAGATGGTAATGTATATGAGACTAGCAGCCTGGAGTTGAACTTGTGATAACCTGTAACACAGGAAAGTTATCGTATCGTTATATCTTCCTAACGAGTGATCGTTATTTGAGGTTAGGTACGAATGAAAGACAATAATTGTAATGTAAACTGTTTTGTATGTTGTTCAGTATTATCGATTAAGTATTTATATCGTAGAAATAAGGAATTATTTATATATACACGTAATATATTTAATAATTTATTATCACGTTTTATATGGTATTTCGTAAAAAAAGGAATAAAAATTTATTTAAAATTGCATTTACTCTTTTACCGACATGACTCGAACCTGATCACGAAGCATTCGAAGTTACCTATGAAAGGTGATGACATGGACACCGTTTACCTACCGTGTAGAACCCTGAATTATCAAGAGTTGTATGTACACTTTAATAGATGACTCGGCTAATATTTTCCAAGGAAGAATACGTACAATTTACAATCATAAACATTTTCAAAATTATATCATTAAAATTATTTGATATTTTGTACTTTCTTATATTGTGCATTTAATCGTTTAATTTAATGGTTAAATCGTTATACCAAGACTAATATATGTAATACATAAAAATAATGTAGTCATATAAAAAATTGTTAAAAAATACGAACGTGAGAAAACAATTCAAAGTAAAGTGACCATGGAAGAAAGAAGTTGCAAATATTTAAATATTTTAAAGCTATTTTTCTGTTCCATAATTAAAATAAATCATTAATTAAATTGAAGAGATTAAGATCTTTCTGAAAAATTTCATAAAACAATTATAACAGCAATGGTAGAATTTGAATAGTATTGTGAAATTAGTATTACAATTATTTAAATAATCAAAGGGAAACTGTAGGAATAAGAAAGCACCAACACAAACTTTTTAAATAATAAAGGATAAATCTAAGAAGTTCTGTAGCCTAACTTCATTAAATGAATAATAAGTTATCGGTTACAGAGTTTTACTTACACTACAGATGAGATTATATTTTCATATTACCGATGAACGCTTAAAGGATAACATATTTACCGACTGAAGCTCATTTCATCATGAATAGGAATAAAAATTTTTAAATTTTCATTAAAATTTAAATTTATAACAGGACATATACAAATTTATGATGACAGTAATAATATTTAATGAGTGTAATTTAATAATATAAAACAACTCCTATAATTAATTACTCAATTTAATAATGTAATTAATTATATACAATGCATATTATTAATTTACTATATTTATAATATAAAACATAAAATAGTGTCTTTGAAGATTTTTGTAAATCACAAAAGGAATTATGAACTAAATTATTCAGTTACTAGATAATTAAGTAAACTATTATCATTGATGTTAGAATTCTCAAAATAAATTATCTTATTACTGAAATAAATAAAAATAAATTACTAAATTTATTCAATGTTAAAAAACTTTAGACAGGAACCTATTTTGCATAACAAAGAAAATTTAATTAAAGCATTAAAAATAAGATACAAATACAACAAATATTAAAAATTTTCAAATTAAAAATATCAGGGGAAGAAATTTTACTTTCAAAATCTAAAATTAATTGCTTTTAAAAATAATTATTTAAAAATTATTTCTTCAATGATTAATACCAATAATAATAATTTTCAAAATATTTCTTTTTATGTACAAGCTAACTATATCACAGATCCATTTGTCATTACTACATTATATTTACTATAGTTTCATTACAATTTCTGTTTATACTTATAATTTTTAATCCCACATTTTTTCATTTCTATTAATACCAAATAATTTGGGTAAAAATTATGACTCAAGAAATACAATCCTATTTTGTATAATTCGATGGAAAGTGTTATACTACTACTGTTAAACTATGTCCATTCTGTAGGTGGAAATAAGGAAGTATTCTGCTAATAAAGTTAAACTCTCCAACATTTTTCAATTGCACCACTTTCATTTCTGACTTATTTTCTAACTATCTTAGACACTCGTTCCTATACTTTTGCATACAGTTGATAACACTATACAATAAATATCTATTTCCTATTTATTTCCAGAAAGCAATCAGGAAACGTGCACGAGTATTACTATTAATTTCATTTAAACTTAAAATGCATAATTGAAACGAGTCGAGTGTCAAACTATTCAGTTTATACAACGGCATAGAATGTATGCAGATGAAGTTAGTGCATACGTTCATGACAGTGATGTTAGTGAAATATTTCCACTACCCACTTTCAGTTGAGGTGACGGAAATACTTATAGACTTTCTTCGACGATAAATATTCCTCGCGCGTTGGCAGCGGAAGTGTTTTTAATTAAGTAAATTTCGAAACAGCGCGTTTCAAGAGAAATAATAAGTTTTGGTAGATTTTACTAAATTATAACAGTAACGATATACCTAGGTGTAGATGTACATATGTACAAGAATTGGATCATGTCACTGTTGAATGACGCTAAAAGTGGTCATGGATTACTATGATTTGTGTCACTTTCACCAGCTGTTTCGATCGGATGTTTCAGCTTCATATCCTACACAGTGATACCTCTAGAGAAGAATCACTATACCCTGATTTTACGATTTTAAAGATTAAGAAGATCACACACCCTTCATGCGAGCAATCATAAAAATCAGGAATTATATTTAACACTAAAACTACCAATCCAGTGAAAATGACTGGTCCCAGAATTTTCCTTTTTGCAATCACCGAACACATACACCTGCTTTAAGAATAAAATTGGTATCAACTTATATTAATTACTCAGTTGACCAATTTGAAACGTGTGATTACTGCTCAATGATCTACAACACGATCACATCTCACATACATGGTGCCCTAGAAAAATATGTAAAAGTAAACACCAGTTGAATCCCCATAAAAGAATCACGATGAAATATAGAGTAACTATTCTTCAAGAAAGTCAAATTTGAAAATTAATCCTGCACTCTGCAATTTGACAAGCAGAAGTTGGTACATAGTAAGTACGACAACGCTGTAATTGAAAGGTAAAATATCCTTTCGTGCTTTTCTCAAATCCAACAATTTATTAATACTACACGAACATTGTTTATGAACACAATGAATTCTCAGGTTCGATTTTCACAACTAATCCTCGAACGAAAATTATTTCCACGTAATTTTACGAGGAATCACCTGGTCACTGCTTATACACAATTTTCAGGGACACCCTGTATATATTCATGTGATCAACAATAACACGCCAATATCAATGTGTCAGTCAAACTCTGTAGAAGCTAGCAGCAACGCTAGCAAGGTGGAATACAATCCTTATTGAACATAACTGACACCAGGAGACCTGAGATTCTACCAACGATATAATCGTCCATTGTGAAAGCAGAAAATTCTTGATCTGTAATGAAGTTGCACTATTAATTTAAGGATATAGGCCATAAATCAGACGGTATAACAACCACGTGGTGCTAAATTGCTCTTTCTTTCCCTCCAGATTGAATACTCGTAGATAATGCAATGCCTCCCATTTACCTGCGTTAGGGGAACAAGTGCTATTAACCCTCTGCATTCGACGATTTTTGGCCAGAGAAGAGTAGAAATTCATGGATTCTCTGTTATAAAGATGACGATATGTTTCTCAGCAGTAAGAAATCGTTTAATAACTAACACATAGAATTATTCGATTTCGATACCTCGCACTTTGTCACATTTTATATATTAATTAATATCATGGGATTCGAATAGTGTGAATCTTTTCGTTTAAAATATATTGCGAATTGATGTTGTTGCGGCCCGAGGACCGCAATGTCCCAGGTCAAGTGGAGGACTGTTTTATGTCCTTATTGCCAGCGTCCCTTCACTGCTATACACTCATTGTCACCTAACCCACCACTTAGGTAACCGTAACAAGGATCGATATGTCACCTTTCAAGACGATAAAGCACAAGGACCTAGATTGTTTAAACAATCACCACCAAAACCAGAATCGAAAAGAAGAAGGCCTAGTCTAGGGGATCGGAGGAGCTGACGGGGGTGTATTATTGCGTTTACCTGGAATCGAGTATCGCTAGCTGCTTCGAAGTACAAGGAGTCGATGGTGCAGAGATGGGTTAATTTCTTTGGATGGATGACAGTAGTTAGGGTTAGGTCCGTTTCGTGGCTGACGTTCCAGAGCGAGGTTTAATATCTAATAGTATCCAAGGAGCGAGTTGATATCGATGCGAGGTGATGCGAGTGAGATGGTTTGGTCTAGAGCGAAAGGCAAATTTGCCATAGATGTAGGGATACCTTTGATTGGCATAATTGTTTTACTCTAATATATATTAATTACGAGTGTTGCGACCCTAGGACCGCAATGTAGCAGGTCAAGTGGAGGACTGTTTCATGTCCTTATTGCCAGCGTCCCTTGACTGCTATACACTCATTGTCACCTAACCCACCACTTGGGTAACCGTAACAAGGACCCATATATCACCCTTCAAGACGATAAAGATCAAGGACCTAGGTTGTTTAACCCTTTGACTACGGCAGACTTTGAAACGCTTCGGTCGTACCACACGGGTAGGAATTCATTTACAATGTCCGCCGAGAATGGCAAAATTTTG